CGTCTATCTATCCATCCATCCATCCATCCATCCATCCATCCATCCATCCATCCATCCATCCATCCATCCATCCATCCTCAGAATTCAAAATTCTTCAATGCAGCGATTGAGTTGATTCCTTCCCGCTATCATCGCAACCCCCAACCCCTTTACAGGGGAACAGAAGACATTGTGTATTCAGCCAGACAATTACCTTCAATGAACCCCCTTTTCCGAGACATAGACAGGTATGGGGCATTGCAGGCTAACAAAAGAAGCCAAACGACCCACATTCCAAAGGGGGGATCTCTTCGTATATTTCCATTTGTATGTTCTCTAAGCATAAACAAAACTTTGTTGGAAATACTTTACGATTGTCCATATTTCAACTAATAAAACCCCAAAATGTTTTCTACTTTCTAATTTTTGTATGTTTTGTCGTTACTGTTGTTCACAGCATCTTCTATTAATGCTGACTGTCCATGTTTTTTCTCTCTGTGTCTTGCAGGACCTCCAGTAAGTACCCCAGATGCTGTTTGTGACCTGCGTGTGGTAAAGTGACTACTTCTACATTTTGCATTAACTTCACAAAAACTAGAAGGATTCCTCTTATTAAAAGAGGTTTGTAGTTTAGTTCCAGGGTCTATAAAGTCAAATTTTTTCGCAGTTGGTCCCCCATGTCATCAACACATTTACTGCTCTGGTCGTAATTTTTTCTTTAGATGGGCTGAATAACTGAGAACAATTAAGGATGGTTATGAGTGGTTTTTAGGAGTGGAAAAGGTCCCTATAATGGAGTAGATATAACCTTTTCGTTGTGATTCCAAAAACAATAAAAAAAACAATCCACTGGACTTTGATCCAAGTTTCTAAGACGTTTCGTTCCCATCCAGGAAGCTTTTTCAATTCAACATGTCAGAAAATGGTGTTGAGGTCAAGGCTTTATAAAGTAGCCCAAAACTTGTTTTGACTTAGAAAACATGCAAATTGAACCGGAAGAACGNATACATGTTTTCTAAGCCAAAACACTCTATAAAGCCTCAAACTCAACGCTATTTTGGACATTTTGATTTGAAAAGCTTCCTGGATGGGAAGAGAAACGTCTTCAAACTTAGAAACAAAGTCCAGTGGATTGTTTTTGTTTGTTTGTTGGAGTGACTGAGACCTGGAAGACTGAGAAGCTTCACCAGCAACTTTTCTTTGTCTCACCCATCTTTCTAAGGCTCTTTACATTCAGTAATGTCCTTTATGGAAGTATTTGATATTTAGATAATTTGATAGTGAGAATTTCAAATATTTGAAATTCTGTTAAAACTAGAAAATCTTAATTATAATTGGGTGGAATATGCTATACTATAAACTGTCAGTTTGAGAGCTCATTTACCTTTGATTGTCTTCTGCTTCATTTCCTACACGCTTGAATTAAAAGCGTTTATCTGACCTGACTTTTAGTGTTCAGTCTTGTTTGTTTACCTGCACAAGGATTTAAATTTAGATTTTTCCCTGGGGTCTGTTTTACAAAGCAGGTTTAAAAAACTCAGATTCAAATCCACAACTCTAAATTGATCTAGTCTAAAGTCTGGAACTCTGAGTGTTCACTTTCACATTGGCTGCTATGAATTATCCATCAATCCATCTATCCGTTTTTGTCACGCTTCATCCCTGCTGGGGTCGGGAGGGGTGCTGTCTCCGGGCAAAAGGCGGGTCCACCCTGGACAGGTCGGCAGTCCATCGCAGGGCAACACAGAGACAAACAGAACAAACAACCATTCACGCACACACTCACACCTAAGGATTAGGGGAAGCTGGAGTACCCAGAGAGAACCCACGAATGCTCAGGGAGAACATGCAAACTCCATGCAGAAAGATTCAGAGCCAGGAATCAAACCTTCTTGCTGTAAGGCAGCAATGCGAGCCACTAAGCAGCCTGCTATCAATTAGTTCAATCAACTCTAAGTAGGTCCACTCAGAGTTAAACGCATGCGTAACAAGTATGAAAAGCCATTATCAGAGGAGCCCCGATTAGAGTCACCATGACAAGAGGCAACAGGAAGTTCTATATTTCAACCCTCTGGAACTAGAGATTTGACTGCAGAAATGACAAAAAAAAAAAAGAATAAAAAAACGAGAATGTGTCTAAAAGAAACAGTGCTTTAGCTTTAAAGAAAAGCAAGATGGCGAAGGAGAAGTTTTTGCTCGATTTATGCATAAGTTTATATGAAGTGACTCATATCCTGTCAACTGAGTTGTAGAATCCTCTCCTTATAAATATTGAATTCTCCGTGAAAAAGTGCAGATCATTCTTTAAAAAGATCCTTGTCAAAAGGTCATGCAATGTTTATTTTAAAACCTAATGTGTGTAACGGACCTAGAGAATAACATATTTCTTTTATGCACAAAACTACAACAAAAATCTGACTAAATCAGGAAATAAAACAGTGATTGGCTGTAAGGAGAGGGGAGACAGAGGACTCGTTTACTGCAGAAAACGTGCTGCTGTCCAGGTTAGCTCTGGGAGGATGTTACTATGGCGACTGAAACAGAAGTTGAGGAAACTCTCTTTGTGAACAGAAAAATCAGAGTTTCCCTGTTCTCAGGTTTAGAAAACTTGCAGTATAAAGAGCAGTACAGTCTTCTCTCAGGGCTGTTTTTTTGTTGTTTTGTTGCTTCGTCGTCTCCTTGCTCCCATGTGTTCACCCTGACGTTTTCCTGGCTTTTTTGGTTATCAGAATGTAACTGTGGAACCAATTAAATCAACAAACTCATGTCTGCCTTCTCATCTCTGCATTTGGGTCCTCTAAAACCTCCTCACAAACCCGACAATTAGAAATTGTAAATATGCCAGATTACAGCCTTAGCCTAATTTTCATCAGCAGTCCTAATAAGATATGTGTGTTGTTAATAAGATATTTACAACACACACTAAACACAGACAGATACAGACATTATAGAGTACATCATAGTTCGTACAGACAAAAAATAAGTCAAGGACTATAAGAAAGAAACAAAAAAAGTTAATTTTATTGCACTGCTCTCACTGGTCAAGTGCTGAATATTGACCTGAAAAGTGATTTAATTTATCTCAAACTAAGCTAATTTTTTGGTCAAAATATAAATATATTGCTAAAGGAATACAGAGTAAAAAGGGAGAGAGTTTACAGCTTGGTCCATTAAGGTAGAACTGAGTCCGGTTAAGTGGTTCTCCTTTGCTTTGTTGTTTTTTATTTGTTTGTCCCAGATTATTCGGTTCCTCCCTCCCTCCTTTTCTCTAACTCTCGCTGGGATGTTGTCCTAGGCAGTCATAAGGGCTGCTGCTGGTGGTCTTTAAGTCTTCTCCTATACATGATGCATTATGGCTGTGCCTGAACATCTGCCCCTACCCCTAAATCCCTCCATCACTATATAGAGTGGGGACTATATACAGTAGTGGACTTTATAGTGAACTCAGTTAACTGAACTTTTGTACAGATAATCATTACTTTTCACTCCCCGTTGGTCACGTAACTTTGCCTCTCCTAATGGTGCCTGCACCATCTTTGTAATTTGTCGCCACTGTTGATCATGGCATATGGCACATCACTATCGGGTAGCGACAGCCGTAGGTGACAGTGGGCCGCTGTGATAATAAATCCCATGATGCTTTGCCAGGAGATCTCTCCTGGCAACTGCGGTATGTATCTACTAGTCACCATGGATGATCACTACTTTTCAAGATGCATTGTGGGACATTTCGAATCCCCCACTTTTTCATCCGCTAGACGTACGGCCACTCATTTAAAATGACATAACGACTATATAGTGCCCTACATAGTGATTAGGGCAGACGTTCGGACACAGCCTTGGTCTTTCTGATAAACATAGCTGTTGGCCTAGCTTTAACTCTAACCGTGTGCTCTTGTTTTGTCTTCCAAACTTGAATACTAGCTCTGAGTTTTTTGTGCTTGGCTGTTTCTATATCCCAGATTTAGCAGCTATTGTACCTGACCTTTTACATTTCCTTTCTGCTATGTCCCCCAAGCCAATGACTCACTCAATCAATGGCTGTTCTAAGAGAGAAACATTTTAACCACTCTGTTTATATGATTGAATTGAATTGACTCAGTTGTGTGCCTTGAGACGACATGTGTTATACAGTAGTAGCCATTTAAAATTTCCTCACTTTCCTTGATGGGCCCTTGGTTGGTTCTTGACTGGTTCTTGGTTGGTCCTTGGCTGGTCCCCTACAATTCCTTTTTAAACATCAATCTTGGGACCAAAATATTCTTTCTGTCATGATTTGTGGACATTAAGATCTAAATAGAAGCGTCATCTCCTAGTCAGACCCTGTAATTCAGTGAAATTGGTGGATTCAGAGTAAAAAAAATGCATGCAGGAAGTTGGAGGGGATTTTGCTGGGAGTCACAGGGGAGTAGGCTGCCATTCGGTTGGCGTTGGACTGGGAGGGGCCTGTGGAGTAAAACATTTTGAGATGTGTCTGTTCTAAGCCTCACAGGCTCCTAACAAAGGTCATGAGAAATTAGAATGAGTGAGAATGGCATCAAGGGGAGGACTGTTGTTTTGAGAAGATCTATCTGGCCAGTGAAAGATATATTAACCTAACAGAGAATGGCCTTGATGAACTCAAGTTGTTTTCCCTTCAAATGTTCGTGTGTCAGAAAGTTCTTTATGTAGGGGTGGGATAGTTCCAAAGGAGAGTGTGTGTGTTGGGATTTTGTAAGGTATTAGTGTATGTACTCTGCTTGCCCCAGTCAGAGCTCTATCTCTCTGTCTAAGGAAGTTAAATAAATTTGAACATTCTCTTGCAAGAGTCTAAGCTTCCTCCTAAACTCCACAGGCTATTTTGAATGGCTGCTACTCTATATGTGTTATTGGGCCCATATAAATAAATCCATATGCTATTTCTCCCTTTTAATGTTCTGTCTATGTTTATGATATGTGTTCACAGGGTACACCAGGAGAGCCCGGTTACTCTATCATAGGACCAAGAGGACCTCCTGTGAGTATCCCAAATGTCTCAATAAAAAGAGAAAAACAGTATTTGAATCATGTGTGTGTGCTATATTTTTACAATAGCATATGTTTCTGCTTACGGGAGGTAAAAATTTGAAAAAAACAACAATGACTATTTAGCTCCTCAACCAATTCTTGTAATAGACACAAAAACAGGGTAAACTTGGGTACAATGGTAGTAATAGAAATCAGCAAAAATTAAGTCCATTAAAAATTTCAAAATTGAATACATTTAATTTGATTTCATTTTAAATGAATGCACAAATCTATATATTTTCTTTTCCCATTTGTGTTGGATACCTATATCCTAAAAAAAAAAAAAAATACAGGAATTACATTATTCAACATTTATGTACCAGAAGGACCTGAGCCATTCAGTGAGTTAAAGACTTCATCAGTGTACAGAAAGAAGTGGTAGAACTATGCAAGTCTAAACAAAAGTGACATTGTCAGTCGAGCCTTTCAGAGACCTTATATGCTCCGTCTATCCAGCACTGCAAACACTACAAATGTCTGCTGAGAGTCTGTGTGGACCTGAGGCAGACTCCACGCAGCAGGTCAGCACAAAGCTACTTTTTTACAGTTTGACACTGAACTGCCTGCAATGACAATGCTCACAGCACAAGGCAAGGTGTTCAGTTTGGTGTGATTCTCAGTTTCCAGGTCATAGTCATTCCAAAAAAGTAAAAAAAAAAAAAAAAGAACAATTCACCGGACTTTGTTTTCCAAGTTTGAAGACGTTTCGCTTCCCTACCAGGAAGCTTTTAAAATTCAAATGACAGAATTAGCGCTTAGTTCCAAGCTTTATATAGTAACCCAAAACAAAGCCTTTTTTTTGGCTTAGAAAAACATGCAAAATTTCATTCTGTTCAACATTCAGCAATCTAATGGCAGTGGGGTAGAAGCTGTTCTAGAATCTGCTGGACCTGCATCCAATGCAGCAAAGCCTCTTCCAGAAGTGCTTTTAGAGGGGTGGGCAACCAGCAGGGCCGCTCACTGGGGGGGGCTGCTTGTAAAGTAGGAGGTCCCAGGCAGTTGCCTAATTTCCCATAGGGCAAGTCTGCCCCTGTTTTTATGATAGGCCATCAATGAGGGGTTTAACTATTTTTTTTTTGTTCTTTCCAGGGACAGCCTGGTACAAGAGGATTCCCTGGGTTTCCAGTAAGTCACTTCACTATTTAAGGGAGACAGATTGTTTGGTTACAGTGAGAGAAATAAGAATTTGAACCCCATGCTATTTTACAAGTTCTCCCACTTAGAAATCATCATCGTGAAAGTGTGATCATAGTTGCATGTCCACTGTGAGCGACATAATCTAAAAAATAATAATAATCCAGAAATCCTAATGTAAGATTTTTTTTTTTACTATTTGTATGATACAGCTGTAAATAATTATATGAACACCAAGAGGCTGGGTCTTCCAACATGTCAATGACCCAAAGCACACAGCCAGGATTACCAAGGAGTTGCGCTGGAAGAAGCATATTAAGGTTCTGGTGTGGCCTAGCCAGTCTGCAGACCTCAACCCAATAGAGAATCTTTGGAGGGAGCTTAAACTCTGTGTTTCTCAGTGATGGCCCAGCAACCTGACTGGTCTAGAGATCTGTGTGGAGGAGTGGGCCAAAATCCCCCCTGCAGTGCGTGCAAACCTGGTGAAAAACTACAGGAAACGTTTGACCTCTAGAATTGCAATCAAAGTCTAATGTACCAAATATTGAGATGGATTTTCTCAGGTGTTCAAACACTTTATCATACAAATAGTAGTGATTTTGAGATGAAGCCTCATGAGGCATTTGCTGTGTTCGAAAACCTAGGACGCGTCCATAGAAGTCCAGATTCGAAGG